ATTCTTGACTTTTCTCATTTTAAAATAATTTAATTATTTACGTTGGAAGAGCCCATTTACGCCACGAGAGTTCGTTTTACAACATGTGAGCTTAATCAATGTTAATAAAATGTATAAAATTAATTAATTAATTGAGTAATCCACTTGCAAATACCGCCATGTGTATGAACAATTAATTTGAGTAAAGTAAATAATACATTTAACTCTTAATCCAAATAGAAAATAAATATTTTGCTTTGTGCTAATTTTGAACAGATTAATATAGAATCGGTACAAGTCATGTCTTACTATATAGGTCGTGTCTTACGACCTACTAATAGTAGGTCGTAAGACACGACCTACTATTAGAACGTTTGCAAGAAGTCGGTTTAGATGGAAAAGACATCAAATTCTTAAAAAACTTGTACTGGAACCAAAAAGCCAGAGTTAGGATCGAAGGTTCCACATCCGCAGAAGTAGAAATTAGGAGGGGAGTTAGACAGGGATGTGTTCTGTCGCCTCTGCTGTTTAATCTTTACTCCGAGTTTCTATTTAAAGAAGCATTGGAGGATTCCAAGGATGGAGTCAAGGTGAATGGCGTAAATATCAACAGTATCAGATACGCCGATGATACAGTGTTAATTGCGGATTCCGACTCAGGTCTACAACGACTCATCGACAAGACCAACTCGACCTGTGAGCAATTTGGTATGAAAATAAACATTAAAAAAACCAAAGTGATGTCAATCCGAAAAAACCAAAACGTACCTCAACCTTGCACAATAAATGGGCACATCTTAGAACAGGTCAATAGATTTAAGTACCTGGGATGTTGGATCGATAGCAGCCTAAATCCTGATCAAGAAATAAGATCGAGAATAGAACAGGCTAGAAAATCTTTCAAAAAAATAAAAAAACTGCTTTGTGATTCTCGAATAAAACTCGAAATTCGGCTACGTTTATCAAAATGCTACGTCTGGTCGACTCTTCTATATGCAGTTGAAACGTGGACCCTTAAAACATCAACCGTAAATAAATTGGAGGCCTTTGAAATGTGGATCTACCGGAGAATACTAAAAATTTCATGGAAATCGCATACCTCAAACGAAGAAGTGCTGCATAGAATAGGCAAGGAAAGAGAACTTTTTAACACAGTAAAAGTAAGAAAAACATCATACCTAGGCCACATACTGAGAAATAATAAGTACCAATATGCCCAACTTATAGTTAAAGGAAAAATCGAGGGAAAGAGAGGCCTAGGAAGGAAAAGACTATCATGGCTCAGAAACATCCGACAATGGACAGAGCTAAATTTTGAACAGCTAATAAGAACAGCTGAAGATAGAGAAGAGTTTAAAATTGTAGTAGCCAACCTCCATTGAGGAGAGGGCACTTTAAGAAGAAGAAGGTACAAGTCAGATAAAAAAAACACGTGTTAATAATAGTTCATAGATAGTTTTGCATGAGTAATTTTAACATAAGTAGTTTTGCAGGAGCCTTTAATCAACTTAGACAGTGATGAAACAACTAATTACTAATAAATTTAATAAACATGTCATGAGCTATTGTACACAAAGAGAATATGAAATGTTTCTCATTTTAACAATAAACTCTTAAATCTGCGTCGTCTTGCATTACAGTATCTTTATTGGCAGTTTCTTCAGGGGTACTGTCACTTTGAAAGAAACCCTTGAAAGAAACTGTAATATTTGAGGCTATCAAAAAGTAATGCAATCTTCACCAAAATGCTTAATTAGAAGGCCTTTTACGTCTTGTAATTTTGCTGGCTTCACGGAACTCCAACATCCATGATGGTAGGTTCCATATTTTCGAAGGATTTGCCCCTTTTACAAACATTTCCGTAACTTAACAGCTCAGATGCATAGTGTGGCTCTGCTTTACTTGCAATTTTATTATTTTTATCCTTTCTTAAACATAATCTCTTAGAGGCCTTGAATTGAAAATGTCATAAACCAGGTACCTTCACTACATCTTTAACGGTAGTTTTCTAATCATATAAATTAAAATCGGCACCGAGCCTTAAAACCGTACCACATTTTTTAAAAATATCGAAGTATGTGTCGGGTTTGACAATTACTTCAATAAGTCGTATTTTTCGTTCTATATTTCCAAAAACTAGATCAGGGGGTACAAAAGAATGTCCAACAACAGGGTACGTCACTCTAACTTTTTGATGTGTCGTGGTGCTTCTGTTTTAAGCCAATAGGCCAACATTCCCACAACTATCGTTTTTTTGTTCTGACCTCCACAGTTAACACAAAATAACCTGCCATGAGAAATAGTATCTTTAAAATTGATGTTTTGTAATTAATGAAATAATGCTGAGGCTATCCGATTGGACCCTTTCTTAGCCTCGAATTCCAACCATGTATAAATGAAAGTATTTGAGATATTCTGAGATTTAGAAGATTTTTCTTGACAGATTGTTAGTGTTGGAGAACTATATCTTCAAACCAATAATTCTATTTGGTATCAAATAATTCTATTTTCGCGTCGGTTACCTAAATAAATCCAGTCTGCCTAGACCTTGTTTCTGAGAATGTTAATACCCGCCCACAGCGCCTACGTGACGATAGACCGGCTTTTCAAAATGCATAAACAAAAAAGATTCCAGCGGGGCTAGTGATTTAGCGACTTTCGTAGGGCTAACATCTATATTTCAAAGTTCGGAGAGGATTCTCCACGTTGCAGTTTACGCAATTGACCGGGAAGCCGTAATATGTGAATAAGTGTTATGGTGTTTTCGCTTTCGTTCGCAAATTGTAATATTCAAATTAAGTTCCTACGATAAGTTACACACTCAAATTTTATAAGCTCTATTTCTTGCCCTTTCTTTTTTCAATTACAGTTTCTTTCTAAACAAGTAATTGTTTTATTTCACTATATCAATTCAACAGGCCAGATAAAAGCAACTTTGAAAGTCCATTTTAGTTTCTCTACTGAGCTGTCGAAGGCTAGCGGACTAATTGGACTTGCAGCAAGAACAAAGCCGCTGAAAGAGACACTGTTGCATACAAGCCTCTCCATGGAAGGGATGTTGTAAACCGGCACCCTCCAGTTAGATTGTACGTATACAACCTACTGAAGTAAGCACTCTGATCAGGCACTTTCGGTAAAATGAAATTTTTTGGCAGTCAAAGGAAAAAAATCAAATCATCATCAGCTTGTGTTTTCAAACTTGTATAAAAGGATTTTGCCTTTAAAGTATGTACACGATATTAAGTAATTAACGTGTGTTTTTTAGACAAATCTTTTTTAATTTTAATAGCCTCTTTTAATTGAATACACTTCGAACAAGCATCTGTTACTGGTGTTTTGAAACTTAAGTTGAACAACCTATTAAATCACTCCCATCATTACTGTAATGATTGTGTAATTTTCTTATACTGAAATCACTTCTTAAATATTGCACAGCAGATCTACCTCTTAAATAATGCGATTCCAATGATTTTAGACTTTTTATGTAAGATTTTACTGATTTAGTACGCCTAGAATAATAATTAGACCGTCTATCACCTCATTTTCTCTTTTTGGACAAAGCCATTGTATTTAAGGTATTTCTACAAATTCTTTGTATTCTGTCTTTAGATATCCCCAAAATTGTAATCATTGCTTTTTGGCACACTTTCTTCAATTTGACGCGGTGACTTCCAGTAGATGTAAGTTCATGTTGTGGTATAAAATAAGAAATGGTCTGCGTCGTTTTCTGCTTACATGCCTTATGTAGATATATTTGATATATTTGAGCAAAAATGTATTTTAAGCAATTTTATCTCCGGACGAATAAAAATGTCGATGAAATTAACTGTAGTGTAGAAGAGACAGTTCCGTACACTCATACCCTTGCTTTAAATTTCCGTGTGCACATTGTGGCATTAAATCTGGCCTCTTGGGCATATGCCTGTAAAAAAAGATATATTCTACATGTATTTAAGTTGTTAAAATTAATAAATAACATAAAAATCTATATAGTAGTTTTGCTCACCGTTTCGATTTTTCACGTTCTCTTTTCCATGTAGACGTATCTATAATCCTTTTACGCCCTTTCCTGTCTAGTTCCAAAGTTATTTCTCTTTCCTGACAATCCATTACATTATTTTCTCAGAAAACAGTAAATAAACAAAACTGAACACAACACATGTGCGCATACGGAGTGAACTATTCAGACTGAAAGATACCTACGTCACAGTATAGTGCTAAAAGAATTCTTTTTAAGCAGTAAACTGTGCCTACGTTTTCTAATGTGTCATAGAGCGCTGTTTGCAAGTTAACAGTCACATAGCAATTTTTGAAAGTGGATTTCTAAATAAGATAGCGACTTTTGCAAGAGTATTCTGTTTTCTACCCCGTCTTATTCAGAATATACCCAGTTTTGATGGAGTGTAATAATAATGACACGTTCATTTCAATAATGTCTACACATCGGCGCCATTAAACAAAAATATATATATATATATATATATATATATATATATATATATATATATATATATATATATATATATATATATATATATTTAACATAGCGTGGTTTGCAAGTGGACTACTCAATTATTAAATTAGTTTATTCAATTTTAAAATATTGTTTAAATTTTAAAAGTGCAAAAAATATAGGCTGAAACTTCGCGCTAGTCTACAGTACAGCCTACTGTACCAATTTTTTTCATCATTTACATTTTCATTATTGTCTTGTATTTATGTGTAATTACTTCATTGTGGTTATCGTTATATTCTAAAAATAATAAATGTCAAGTATAATTAAAATGTACTAAGCTTGTTCACTGACTTCTGGATTTGGCAAATACTTTAAAAATATATATAATCATATAAACACAGAGCACTTTCTAGTAAGCTACTATAAGTTATTGCCATGCCAGCTACAAGAGTTTCGTTACAGAAGAGTTTAATTCGGGTCCATGAAAAAATATACAGACATACCGAGCGATAATAAGTAGTCACTTTAAAATTTAAAAATTAAAATCAGAATAAAAATTACTTACCAAATCTTTTCATTTTTGTGGACAAAAATCCAGATACCGCTAATTTTAAATAACAGCTGCTTACAACGACTATCCCGAAAAGTTGAATTAACACTGAGAAAACAAATATTTTATACGTTGTGTGTAGTAACTGCCTTGATTTAAGTTCTATGGTGCATATGACTATTCCCAGAAATAAAAAAGAGTAAGCTACAGTAAACGCCATTATCACAGGCAGTATATCTGCAAAAAATTAAAATAATAAACTTAACACAAAATTTAAATTTAATGTATTATATTCCTCGATTATTTCTAGTTGTTTTAATACTTTAGTTAGACAAATAAAAAAGGAACACTGGCAGAGTTTCTCAAAACAGATGAAACACGATTTCTACGGAACACAAAAGAAATATGGAGAATAGTCAGAGGACAAAGAAAAAAAAAATAACGAACTAATAAAAACGAAACACATTTAGAAGGAAACATGAGTAGACTACATTCGATCCCTATTTGCTAAATGTGACGATTATGAAACACCAACATCAGATGTGACGACAAACGAAGAAATAAATATTGAGGAGGAAGAGGTAAAGTAAGCATTTAAAAGGAAATTAAAAAAAAATTACCAGAAGAGGACAGAATACCAAACAAACTCCCAAGGTACGGAGGACCAGATCTGACCAAACAACTATTACCATTAATCAAAAAATAATAGAAAAAAATAGAATTTCTCAAGAATGGACATCAAGCTTCCTAAAACCTCTGTTCAAAAAGGGAGACAAATCGGACCCGGAAAATTAGAGCAGAATTAATTTATTAAACACAGCACTAAAATTAACAACCAAAGTGATACCAAATAAAATTATAACACTAGCATAAAAACAACAAGGTTTTAGGTCGGGAAGATCATACACTAATGCTGTATTTATAATAAGGCAAGTGCAAGAGAAATCATTAGAATACAACAAACCGGCATATCTATGTTTCATGGACCTTACAAAGGCATTTGAATGGGTCAAATTAAAAGACGTTGTCCACTTACTATCTGCAAGAGAGATACCTTTAGGAATAATCAAGGTAATAAGACTACAAATGTATGTACTGTATATTGTACATATTATAGTTACAAATAAAGTTAAATAATATATAAAATCCTTTAAAATCTATCCAGACCAAATGCTCCTTTTTCATATAAAAGCCACCACAATAACAGAATCCTCAGTATATTTTCCTTCTTCTTTAGCCTTAAGTAATCCAACTTTGGACATAGACCTCTCCCAAATCAATCCAGTGTCTTTTATTTTGCGCCACTTGCTTCCAGTTGTGTCCTCCGATCTTCTTAATGTCATCAGCCCATCTCATTTGTGGTCTTCCTCTGCTTCTCTTTCCTAATCATGGCCTCCACTGTTCTATTTAGTGGTTTCATCTCTTATCCTTTAGTCGGGCATTGTGACCTGCGAAGCTCCATTTTAATTTGGCAGCATGTTCTCCTGCGTCTTTTTTTTTTGGTTTTGCTTCTAATCCATTTGTTTGTTTTTTTTTGTCTATAAGTCTTACCCTGAGCATTGTAAGATCTTTTCATCGCTCTTTGAGCTTTTACTAATTTATCCATATTGGACTTGGCGAGTTTTCACGTCTGTAAACCATACGAGAGTATAGGGAGGATACACTGATCATAAATTCTGGTTTTTAAATACTGTTTTATATTAGTGCTTTTCTCAACTTTCAAGATTAATAAAATGTCATCAGCGTATCTTAAATGACTCAGTTTTCTTCCATTAACATTTACCCCATTACCAGCTTCAATAGGGTCAGTTAGTTCTTCTTCTACTTTTACTTTTATTGTGTTGTTTTGGTAGATATCTTCGATCATTTTAATTATTTCTAGAGGTATCTCTCTTACGCACAGTAAGTGGATAACGTCTTTTAATTTGACCTTGTCAAATACCTTTGTAAGGTACACGAAACATAGATATGTCGATTTGTTGTATTCTAATGGTTTCTCTTGCACTTGTCTCATTATAAATATAGCATCGATGGATGATCTTCCCGACCTAAAACCTTGTTGTTCTTCTGCTAGTGTTATAATTTTATTCAATTTATTTGTTATCACTTTGGTTGTTAATTTTAGTGTTGTGTTTAATAATTTAACTCCTCTGTAATTTTCCAGGTCCGATTTGTCTCTCTTTTTAAAGAGAGGTACTAGGATGCTTGATCTTTATTCTTGAGGAATTCTGTTTTGTTCTATTATTTTTTGAATTAGTTTTAATAGTTGTTTGGCCAGATTTGGTCCTCCGTACTTGAGGAGTTCGTTCGGTATTCTGTCCTCTACTGGTGATTTTCTATTATTTTATTTCCATAATGCTTTCTTTACCTCTTCCTCCTCAATATTTATTTCTTCGTTTATCGTCACCTCTGGTGTTGGCTGTTCATCATCGTCACCTTTAATAAATAGGGATCGGAAATAGTCTACCCATGTTTCCTTCTGAATGTGTTTTGTTTTTATTAGTTCGTTCATATCTTTTCTTTGTCCTCTGATCATTCTCCATATTTCTTTTTGTGTTTCGTAGAAATCGTGTTTCATCTGTTTTGAGAAACTCTGCCAGTGTTCCTTTTTTATTTGTCTAACTAAAGTATTCGTTTCGTTTCTGATTCGTTTATAGTAGTTGTATGCATGTTGTGTTTGTTGTGTTCTGTATTGTAAAATGACTTTCTTCTTTTTTTCACATTTTATCTTCACTTCCTCTCTAAACCATGGTGTTTTCTTATTTGATATCTTAGTGTTCGTTACTTTTCTCTCTCCAAGTGATTCTGTTGCTGCGGTAATTATATTACTTTGAGCTTTTCTTAGCTTTTCTCGATGTTATTGTTTTCTAATATTTCTTCCCATCGATCTTCTCTGATATTCTTTTCCTGTATAATGATTCTATGGATTTCGTATTTAGTCCTTCGACTTTGATTTTTGTTTGTGTTGGCATCACTCTATTGGGTGGGAAGTATTTCAGGATTAATCTTATTTTACATAATCCTAGGCTATGGTCGCTACCTACACTTGCTGGGTTGGGGCATCTTGTGTCGAATATTTTTGATGGATGTGTATCTCTGTTGGTTATAATATCAGTTTATAATACAGTTTATCCAGGAAATGAATAAAAAAAATATGCGCCAAATCGGAGAATTAGCGATCTTAAACTTTTGATGAAGAAACACATAAGCACCTACCACACCACAAGGAGCAAAAGAAGGGCTAAAACATCTGTGAGGGGAAGTGAGGTATTGATAAATATTTTGCCGAAAGCTTGAAAAGTAGTAATATTTTTGTTTGCAGTAATATTTTTTATATAGAAAATAATTAGCCATATTCCATACTTACAAAACTCATCAGCTGAAAAGTGTTCGTGCCAGTAGTCACCTGGTGGGCCGTTTGTCATTAAAATTCGATATCTTATATCTATACCCTAAAATTAAATACATTATAAATACATGGAAGAATCGTTCTGGCAATCGTACTAGTTGGACGTGTGTAGTTTCGCTCCGAAATTAAATTTCAATTTTGGGTGGTTTCGAGTGTAATCTGCATACAAAATAGTGCAAAGTGTCATTAAAAAGGACCTTTATGTAAGTAAAAAATCAGATATCTGTTTTGAGCTGTAATAATAAATTAATAGTTAGTTTTTAATTGCCCTACGGATAAAACTAATACTTCTGAGTTGTCGAAACGAGTTGAACTTTTTGCGCTGGACGGGTGATTAGGAGCGATAAACAATAATAATTATCAACAAATCAATAGGTCTGTTATTCAGGTTTTGATAAAACTAAACAGAAGTATAAAGGCTGAACTTATTTGTGTTAGGATCTACAATCGCTAAAATTTAGCTGTTGAGGTGGGTGCGGAGCTTGTCGCGATCCGTAACCGTTCCAAAATATTTTATAAATATGTTACTTATTTAAATTAGAAGAAAGATGGCAGATGGTAAGGTGGATAAAGATAGTAAAAGAGAGAGGAGCTAGACATATTTAGCAGGAGTAGAAAAGTGAACCCAACACCAGACAGGTCGAATCCATCAACGAATGAAGCCAGCAGTAATAACGAAATGATAGAACTAATGAGACAACTATTAAGCGACAATAAAAAAAAACAAGGACCTAGAAGATATAAAAAATACAATGGGCAATATGACTGAGAAATTAAAACAAATTAGGAAGGAAAATAGTGAATACAAATTGCAAATGAAAGAAATAATAAGAGAAAATGAAAATCTAAAGCAAGAAATGGTGGCTACGATGAAACAAAAGCTAGATAAAATAGAAATAACCTTGGAAGCATGTCAGAAAGAAAAGAAGAAAAATAACCTAATAATAAGAGGCTTACCAATAGACACAATAGACGCAGAGAAACTAGAGAACTTTATAGAAACAAAAATAGGAGTAAAATCAGAAATAAATAGGGTACAAAAATAAATGAAACAATGTGTATTATCGAATGTAAAAAATTCGAAGATAAAATGAAAATACTGAAAGCCAAGGGTAAACTAATGAACTATAAGCAACATAAAGTATATATAGAAAGTGATCTAACATTAAAAGAGTTAGAAATATAAAGAAACCTTAGGAAGATATCAGCAGATGAAAAGACTAATGCGAAAAGGACAAAAATTGGATATGGTTTCATAGTTATTGAAGGCATTTAGTGGAAATGGAATCAAAAAACAAGCCGGATAGAAAAAGTAACATACAATACTGAACCAACTTGTTCAAAAAACTAGCTGAAGAAAAAACAATGACGGACCGAGAAACAAAACAGGCACAGAACATGGACATGAGCAGACTTAAAGATAACAACACAAACGGAAAGAAAAATAAATTGAAGTATAACTTAAACACAGAAAAGAACAAAACAACTTTGAAAATGGCATCATGGAATGTAAGAAATTAGAGATAAAAAGAAGAAAGAAATTAGAGATAAAAACATTGAAATAGTAGCTATAACCGAGACAAAGAAAAAAGGAAGAGGATCAATATTATTAGAAAACGGAATGTTACTAATCTACAGTGGAGTGGAAGAAACGAAGAGAGCTCAGGCAAGAGTAGCGTGCATGATAAAGAAGGACAGTATCAACAAAGTAAAAAATTGGACCTATTACAACGAACGTATATTAAGAGTAGACATAGATATGGATACAGGAAAACCAATACAAACGTAATAATACGCTATGGACCAGATGAAGACGCAACAAAAAATGAAAAGAATGAATTTTGGGACAAATTACAAGAAGTGATAAATGATTGTACAGAGAAAATTGTGATCACAAGAGACATGAATAGTAGAGTGAGAAAATGAGCAGAAAATGGAACAATGTCATCGAACCTTATGGAGAGGCAAAAATAAACAAAAATGGAAAATTACTACTCGAATTCTGTCTAGACAATAACCTGGTAATTATGAACACACACTTCCAACATAAAAAGATACATAAGATCACAAGAGAAGTCAAATCAAGAGATAAATAATTAATTATAGACTATACTATATTGCAAAAAACAGAGAAGAACTGGATAAGAGACGTAAGGGTGAAAAGGAGTTATGAAATTGGTAGTGACCACTATCTACTAGAAACCACATTCAAATGCAAAAGAAAAGAAATAAAAGAAAGAAAGAAATGAGAACAAACAAAAAATACAAATAAATAATAAAAATTTATAAACTAAGGGAAGAAACAACAAAGATAAGATACTCAGAAGGGCTAGAGAAAGTGATGGACAATGAACATGAAATAACAGAAACAATAGAAGAAGAATGGGGAAAATTTAAAAATGCGATGATAAAAACAGCTAAGCAATATGTGGAACTACAAGAAATAACAACAGAGGGAGACGTACATCTTGGTGGAACGATGAAGTGAAAAGAGAAATAAAAGAAAAGAGGAAGTTATGGAAAAAATACATAAAAGACAAAACACAACCAAAATATGAAAATTATAAGAGACAAAGAACAAAAGTTAAAGAGATAGTTAAGAAAGAGAAAAAGAAAAGTTGGGAAAAATTCGGAGAAAATATGGAAGAAAACAGCACAGAAAACGTAAAATTATTTTATAGAACACTGAAAACCCTAAGAAGCAACAAAGAAACGAAACTAAAACAAATAATGAACAAGGAAGGAACAATAATAAAAGACGATAAGACAATAATTGAAAGACGAAGGGAACACTTCCAGCTGATACTGAATGGAGATCAAGCGAATACAATGAAGAAGGAAAGCCACATCAAGAGAGTATCCATGAGAAACATGGAAAATCCAGCAACTATAGAAACAGAAGATCTGGAAGAAGCAATAAGAAAGATAAAGATTGGAAAAGCACCAGGAAGCGATGAAATAGCACCAGAAATGATGAAATATATAGGAGTCAAACCAAAAGAAAAATTGTTATACATATATAACCTAATATGGAAGATAAAAGTAATACCCAGAAAATGGACAAATGCAGTAATTATGCCTATATACAAGAAAGAAAACACAAGAGACTGTAAAAACTATAGAGGTATATCACTACTATGTGTAGCAGCAAAAGTATACGAAACCATAATAGAAAGGAAAATCAGAAAAGGAATAGAACATAAATTAGAGGACGTACAAAGTGGATTCAGGAAAGGACACAACACACAAGACCATATTTTCACCATGCAACAAGTAATAGAAAAAGCCTTAAAGAAAAATAGAGAAATATATCTAAGCTTTATAGAGATGGAAAAAGCATTCGACTCAGTCAAAAGAAAAGATATATGGGAAAGCCTAAAGAAGAAGCAAGTAAGTGAAGAACTTATAGAAGCAACAAAGAGTATATACATGAAAACAATAAACACAGTAAGAATGTTAAATATGCAGTCAGAACCATTTGAAACAACTCAAGAAGTTAGACAAGGAAGAAGTCTCAGCCCAGTGCTATTTATAAATGTAATAGATGAGATAGTGAAAGAATGTAAGAAAACGTTCAAGAAATATTGCATCGGATGGAACACAATGCGAATGATAAACGCTGAGATGTGTATATTTGCAGACGACATAGTATTAATTGCGGAAACAGCAGAAAAACTGAAATACAACTTAGAGAAATGGAACCTAGAAGCAAGCAAATACAACTTAAACGTAAACAAAGAGAATACTCAGATAATGAAAATATCACGAAAACAAGGGACGAAAGATCAACTAGAAACAATGATATACCAACAAAAAATAATACAGACACATTCATACAAATACTTAGGAACAGTAATCAACAACAAAGGAGACATCGAGGACGATCTTAACAACAGAATGGAAAACACAGGAAAATTATTCCAAGCACTAAATAGAGGATTCCTTAATAACAAAGAAATATCAACAAAGACCAAGATGACAATATACAAAACAATATATAGACCTACAGTGACATATGGAGCAGAAAATTGGATACTAAACAAAAGGCATCAAAGCAGAATTCAGGCAGCAGAAATGAAATACCTCAGAAGAACGATCGGAGTAAAAAGAACTAATAGAATCAGAAATGAAGAAATAAGAGAAAGACTAAAAATCAAACCGATTCTAGAATCAATCAGGGAGAAAAAATTGGCATGGTTCGGACATCTAACCCGGATGAACAATAATAGACAAGTAAAAAGAATGTGGGACGCCAAACCAATAGGGAAGAACAGAAGAGGAAGACCCCTTAAAGAATGGAACAGTGACATCTCGCAGATACTGCAGAGTAAGGGTAAGACTTGGCAGGAAGCAACAGAGATGGCATACAATAGGAAGGAATGGAGAAAGTTTATCAAGAACTAGGACACCTCAGAAGATTGCAAAATATTGTAATATAAAGAATTGTATTATAAACGGTCCAACACCGGGTACAAATGGGTCTACTGATTAAGTAAGTAAAGTATAAATACATGAATATATTTATTCTGTCAAAAGTTTAGAAAATATTTTTAATGCATTATTTATTTCTAAAACAACTTTTAGCACTTTAATTACATTTGTATCTGTACTTTTTAAACTTAAACACATATGGAAAAGATCTTTAATATCAGTCTTATTAGTGATATAATTTTGATCTTTTTTTCACAAAATAGTCGCATCAACCTCTAATATATACATACATACATACATATATACATATATATATATATATATATATATATATATATATATATATATATATATATATATATATGCTAGCTGCATTTATATAAATGCAGCTAAGCGACCTAAATGCAGCTAGCAATGAAGTTGGCCTAAAAATGAACTTGACAAAAACAAAAACCATGTACAACGAGCTAGTGGATGTCCAAGATGCAATAATAAATAATACTGCACTGGAGACAGTAGACGAGTATATATACCTGGGACAATTAATACATAGATCTGGCTCATTACTCCCAGAAATCAACAGAA